CCGGGTGCCAGTGGGGAATCTCTGGCTGGGACCCAGTGACTGACAGCTGTAGCCATCAATGGCAGCGCGGGTAGAGCGTGCATGGCATGCACGTGCCCCTTAGTCAAAAATACAAAATCACACACACATATATATATATATATATACAGTGAAGGAAATAAGTATTTGATCCCCTGCTGATTTTGAATGTTTGCTCACTCACAAAGAAATGATCAGTCTAAAAATCGAATGGTATGTGTATTGTAACACTGAGAGACAGAATAGCAACTAAAAATTCAAAAGAAACGCATGTCTAACAAATTATGCACTGATTTGCATGTTCATGAGGGAAATAAGTATTTGATCCCCTATCATTCAGCAAGATTTCTGGCTACCAGGTGTTTCATACAGGTAAAAAGCTGAGATTAGAAGCAGTCTCTTAAAGGGAGTAAAAGACACCTGTCCACAGGAGCAATCAAACAATCAGATTCCAAACTCTCCACCATGGCAAAGACCAAAGAGCTGTCCAAGGATGTCAGGGACAAGATTGTAGACCTACACAAGGCTGGACTGGGCTACAAAACTATCGCCAAGCAGCTTGGTGAGACGGTGACAACAGTTGGTGCAATCATTTGCAAATGGAAGAAACACAAAACAACTGTCAGTCTCCCTAGGTCTGGTGCACCATGCAAGATCTCACCTAGTGGCGTGTCAGTGATCATGAGAACAGTGAGGAACCATCCCAGAACTACACGTGAGGATCTTGTCAATGATCTCCAGGCAGCTGGGACCACAGTCACCAAGAAAACAATTGGTAACACACTACGCCGACAACGATTAAAATCCTGCAGTTCCTGCAAGGTCCCTCTGCTCAAGAAAGCACATGTCCAGGCCCATCTGAAGTTTTCCACTGAACATCTGAATGATGAGGAGGAGGACTGGTTGAATGTGTTGTGGTCAGATGAAACCAAAATCGAGCTCTTTGGCATTAACTCAACTCAACAGTTTGAAGGAGAAGGAATGCTGCCTATGACCCCAAGAACACCATCCCAACTGTCAAACATGGTGGTGGAAACATTCTGCTTTGGGGGTGTTTTTCTGCTAAGGGGACAGGAGAACTGCACTGCATCAAAGTGACGAAGGATGGTGCAATGTACCGTCAAATCTTGGGTGAGAACCTTCTTCCCTCACAGCCAGGGCATTGAAAATGGGTCGTGGATGGGTGTTCCAGCATGACAATGACCCAAAACACATGGCCAGGGCAACAAAAGAGTGTCTCAAGAAGAAGCACATTAAGGTCCTGGAGTGGCCTAGCCAGTCTCCAGACCTTAATCCGATTGAAAATCTGTGGCAGGAGCTGAAAGTTCGAGTTGCCAAACGTCAGCCACCTAACCTTAATGACTTGGAGAAGATCTGCCAAGAGGAGTGGGCCAAAATCCCTCCTGAGATGTGTGCAAACCTGGTGGTCAACTACAGGAAACGTCTGACCTCTGTGATTGCCAACAAGGGATTTGCCAGCAAGTACTAAGTCATGTTTTGTGAAGGGGATCAAATGCTTATTTCCCTCATGAACATGCAATCAGTACATAATTTGTTAGACATGCATTTCTTTTGAATTTTTTGTTGCTATTCTGTCTCTCAGTGTTCCAATACACCTACCATTTGATTTTTAGACTGATCATTTCTCTGTGAGTGGGCAAACATTCAAAATCAGCAGGGGATCAAATGCTTATTTCCTTCACTGTATATATATATATATATATATATATATATATATATATACATACATGATTTTGTGCAGCCCTGCCGCCCTGTAGCAGTGTTCGGTTATAGGGTGGTTGGGAAGCGGTTAATCTTAAAATGGTCAGTCAGACTATTTTGTTTACAATGTCTGGTTTCCCCTATAAGAAGGCTTAGCTGTAGGTATAGTGAATGTCTTCTAAATTTGCGATGATAGGAGATATTCGCACTTGAAGCAGCTGGTGACATCACCGGCACATGCACTGTGAATTGATGGCACACTCCAGATTTTATCTGCTCCAGTATTAGTAAATTCCCCCAATGTATCTATTGTATAGCACTGTATTCAGCAGGAAATTCTACATGACAGTCATTTCTGCTTTGTACTTCTCTTCTCACCAGTCCATGCGGGTACATAACATATCATAATAAAGTATTGTGCAGCAGTTTTATCTTATCTTTACCCCTAAGTAAAAGTATCCAGAAGTGCTATATAGACAGAGGTGTACAGTGTTTGATTTGTGCTGGCTAACACCTATGATAACATGTAGAAGCGTACAGTATGTAACTGGACTGTTGGTATATATTATTTTTAGAAACAAATGTACAGTATGTGACTGGCTGCCTAGAAAATGTTGTTTATGGAGAGAGGTGTTTTGCTACTGCAATTTAATCTGGGGTGGCAAATTTTGTAGGGCTGCTTAGTGCATGGTCCCATTATTCACTTCCATGACTCCCAGCTATACTAAGTCTTTTGTAATATGAATGTAAAAATAATGTTAAAAGCTGCAGTTTGACATAATAATATATTCACAATACCATGTAATAACTTTTGGTGCCACTCAAGGTATCCCGACAAGAAAGAGGTCCAATGTCTCACAGTGTTGAATGGGTGCAGGCTGTCAAATGCTTAACCCCTTCGTGCCTAAGGGTAAAACAAATCTTAACGCCTAAGCACAATTTTGCAACTTTGACATGTGTTAGCAAAACCGTACATATCATCACAACTACTTTTGTGCATCCAGGTGGATTATACCTTCTTTTTTCAGGACAAATTGAGCTTCATTTGGTGGTAAATGGTAATGGATATCTCCAGATTTATTTTTTATTATTATAAAAGGAAAACTGGCCCAAAATACTGTATTTTGCGCTCCATAAGACGCACCTGACCATAAGACACACCTAGGTTTTATTTATTTATTTCAGGTACTTATATAGTGCTGTCAATTTTACACAGTGCTTTACACATATACAGTGGGGATCGAAAGTTTGGGCACCCCAGCTAAAAATTTGTATTAATGTGCATAAAGAAGCCAAAGAAAGATGGAAAAATCTCCAAAAGGCATCAAATTACAGATTAGACATTCTTATAATATGTCAACAAAAGTTAGATTTTATTTCCATCATTTACACTTTCAATATAACAGAAAACAAAAAAATGGTGTCTGCAAAAGTTTGGGCACCCTGCAGAGTTAATATCTTGTACTGCCCCCTTTGGCAAGTATCACAGCTTGTAAACGCTTTTTGTAGCCAGCCAAGAGTCTTTCAATTCTTGTTTGAGGTATCTTTGCCCATTCTTCCTTACAAAAGTCTTCCAGTTCTTTGAGATTTCTGGGCTGTCTGTCACGCACTGCTCTTTTAAGGTCTATCCATAGATTTTCAAGTATGTTGAGGTCAGGAGATTGTGAAGGCCATGGCAAAACCTTCAGTTTACGCCTCTTGATGTAATCCCCCGTGAATTTCGAGGTGTGTTAAGGATCAATATCCATTTGTAGAAGCCATCCTCTCTTTAACTTCAGCTTTTTCACAGATGGCATCAAGTTACCATCCAAAATTTGCTGAAATTCTATTGAATCCATTTTTCCTTCTACTCGTGAGATGTTCCCTGTGCCACTGGCTGCAACACAACCCCAAAGCATGATTGATCCAACCCCATGCTTAACAGTTGGACAGAGGTTATTTTCATTAAATTCTGTGCCCCTTTTTCTCCAAACGTACCTTTGCTCATTCCGGCCAAAAAGTTTAATTTTAACCTCATCGGTCCACAGAACTTGTTTCCAAAATGCATCAGGCTTGTCTATATGTTCATTTGCAAAGTTCAAACGATGATTTTTGTGGTGAGGATGTAGAAGAGGTTTTCTTCTGATAACTCTTCCATGAAGACCATATTTGTACAAGTATCCCTTTATAGTGGAATAGTGTACCACAACTCCAGTGTCTGCCAGATCTTTCTGGAGGGATCGTGCAGTCAAACGTGGGTTTTGAATTGTTTTTCTCACAATCTTGCGAGCTGTTCTGTCTGATATTTTTCTTGGTCTTCCAGATCTTGCTTTAACTTCCACTGTTCCTGATGACTGCCATTTCTTAATTACATTCCAAACAGAGGATATTGACATCTGAAAACGCTTTGCTATCTTCTTATAGCCTTCTCCAGCTTTGTGAGCGTCAACTATTTTCAGTTTCAGTTTTCTAGACAACTGCTTAGAAGAACGGATGGTGCTGATTGTTGGGGCAAGGTCAGATGAGTCTGGGCATTTAAAACCTTTGAGATTGACATCATCTGGTCTTCCCAGACAATGATTGAGAACAATCCATGACACTGGCAGGTCTCAGCTTGGCAAAGGGGGCAGTGCATGCTATAAATTCTGCAGGGTGCCCAAACTTTTGCAGACACCATTTTTTTGTTTTCTGTTATTTTGAAAGTTTAAATGATGGAAATAAAATCTAACTTTTGTTGACATATTATAAGAATGTCTAATCTGTAATTTGATGCCTTTTGGAGATTTTTCCATCTTTCCTTGGCTTCTTTATGCACATTAATACAAATTTTTAGCTGGGGTGCCCAAACTTTTTATCCCCACTGTATATATTGTACATTCACATCAGTCCCTAACCCTCAAAGGGCGTACAATCTAAGGTCCCTAACTTACATTCATACATACACATATTAGGGCCAATTTAGACAGGAGCCAATTAACCTACCAGCATGTCTTTGGAGTGTGGGAGGAAACCGGAGTACCCGGAGGAAACCCACACAGGCACAGGGAGAACATGCAAACTCCAGGCAGGTGGTGCCGTGGCTGGGATTCGAACCAACGACCCTAGTTCTGCCAGGCGGAAGTGCTAACCATTTAGCCACTGTGCTGCCCATGAGGTTTTAGAGGAGAAAAACAAGAAAAAAAATATTCTGAACCAATGGACTGCAGACATAGTACAGAAGATGACCAGAGACTGCGGACACAGTAGAGGAGATGACCAGAGACTGCGGACACCGTACAGGAGATGACCAGAGACTGCGGACGTAGTACAGGAGATGACCAGAGACTGCAGACACACTACAGGAGATGACCAGAGACTGTGGACACAGTACAGGAGATGACCAGAGACTATGGACACAGTACAGGAGGTGACCAGAGACTACAGCCATTGTACAGGAGATGACCAGAGACTGCAGACGTACTACAGGGGATGACCAGAGACTGCGGACGTGTACAGAAGATGACCAGAGACTGCGGACATAGTACAGATGACCAGAGACTGCAGACAGTACAGGAGATGACCAGAGACTGCGGACACAGTACAGATGACCAGAGACTGCAGACAGTACAGGAGATGACTAGAGACTGCAGACAGTACATGAGATGACCAGAGACTGCAGACAGTACATGAGATGACCAGAGACTGCAGACAGTACAGGAGATGACCAGAGACTGCGGACACAGTACAGATGACCAGAGACTGCAGACAGTACAGGAGATGACCAGAGACTGCAGACACAGTACAGATTACCAGAGACTGCGGACACAGTACAGATTACCAGAGACTGCAGATGTACCAGGAGATGACCAGACTGCAGACAGTACAGGAGATGACCAGAGACTGCAGACAGTACAGGGGATGACCAGAGACTGCAGACAGTACAGGGGATGACCAAGAGACTGCCGACAGTACAGGAGAAGACCAGAGACTGCAGACAGTACAGGGGATGACCAAGAGACTGCAGACAGTACAGGAGATGACCAGAGACTGCAGACAGTACAGTGGATGACCAAGAGACTGCCGACAGTACAGGAGATGACCAGAGATTGTTGATGTTTGGGGAGGGAGGGGGAGCGGGTACCGGAATTTGGCAGGTACCAGCTCCCACTTCCGCGGAGTTGTCCTCCCTTTAGTGTGGGCACCCGGCTGTGACAGCCGGGTGCCCATTGCGCATGCCTGAGAAGCGCTGCACTTTATGAATGGCCCGGTGTCTTCTGGGACACATGACAGGTCCCAGAAGACGCCGAGCCATTCACAAGCGCAGCTCTTCTCGCGCATGTGCAGTGGGCACCTGGCTGTCACAGCTGGGTTCCCACACTAAAGATGCTGGCACAGGAAGACTGTACAGCACTGGAACGAGGATCAGGTAAGGTCCTGCTGCAGACAAGAGCTGAGCGGCCAGCCCAGTATTCTGACACGGTGTCGGTGGCGGAAATACCGGACTAGCCAATCCATATTCGCTCCATAAGACGCACTGACATTTTCCCCCCTTTTTTGGGGGAAAAAAGTGCGTCTTATGGAGCGAAAAATACGGTAGTAAAAAGAAAAATCATTTTTAATAGTTTAGCTGTATATTTCTTGCTACTACCATAACCTACCACCAACGAACAACCCAAAATAATCTCCTGTTACTGGTTCTCGCAGCAATACAACCTACGTGTTTGTTAAGAAAACAAACAGAGGACACACCGGCCTAGTGCATTACCTAAATAACATTTATTGATCAAAATAATAGGTGATTTACTCTCCAAAGACAAATGTATAAAAGCCCATCATAGAGAACAGCGCTGTGCAGTCCGTCTGATACGGCTTTCCACACAAGAACACTGGACCTCCAACAGGCTAACATGTTTTTAGGACTTGCCTCTCCCTCAGAGCCCGGGCTCTGAAGAAGAGGCAAGTCCTCGAAGTGCGTTAGCCTGTTGGAGGTCCAATGTTCCTGTGTGGAAAGCCGTATCAGACGGACTGCACAGCGCTGTTCTCTATGATGGGCTTTTATACATTTGTCTTTGGAGAGTAAATCACCTATTATTTTGATCAATAAATGTTATTTAGGTAATTCACTAGGCCGGTGTGTCCTCTGTTTGTTTTCTTTGCATCCAGTGTTTGGACTCCCCCAGTCCTTTGAGGGCAGCAAGGTGTACACCATCCAGGATGTCCAGAATGGATCCATAACCGCACCCTTACCCTCAAGCGCAGGAGAATTTGTGTTGATTATTTATATGTGTATGTTAGTTGTTGTTTGTACCCGTAATACGGCCCAGAAACAGTAGTGCACATTTTGCTTTTTTTTATCCTGCCAGTAACTGACACATACTAATTTAAACATTTTAAAAATCCGGACCAAAAAAGAAGAAAATACTGACCCTGACCTTGACCTTTGACCCTGAGCTTGAACCTAAACACTAACCCTGGCACTGACCTAGATCAAACCTTGGTCTAGGTATTTTTTAAATGTTATTATTTTTATCTATATATTTATTTTACACACACGTTTTTTTCTCCCCTCTCTGAAAAGACAGTGAGAGATACAATGTATCTTTCTCCTGCATGCATAGAGAGAAAATACGAGGCCGGGCTTCACCGTGACTGATCACTGTGATAGCCAATCAGAGGCTATCACAGTCATCAAGTGACAGAATCGGGAGTTCCAGGTCCGATTGTTAGAACGGGTCCCAGGTATTTTCCGTGTGAGACCTCAGTCTCTGTGCTGGGAGCGCGCCGCATTACAAAGACAGGTACGCAAATTAGTGGCCCCACGGTACAAAGCCCAGTGCAGGGGGGCCGCTAATTTGCGTACCATTAAGGGGTTAATACAGGAAGTGGTAGAGCATAAGAACAAAGAGATGGCACATACACAGTGTGTAAATACAAGATGCATCTGTATTCTTGCTGGAATCATAGTGTGTTTTGTATAGTGTGTTAGTATTGTCTCTGAAACTTTGTTCAGGAACTTCCTGTAATAAAGACTGGTCATTGCTGCTTCCTCCCTTTGTGTGGGGTAACTGGTTTTGCATCCACTCACCTGTAGTTTTCTGCAGGTAGCTTGTAGTGGGTGGGGCCTGCTGGGTTCTTCCTACAGATCTGCTATCTGCATTGGCTACGTACAGCACAGTGATGATGTCACTGTCATTTTTACAAGGTAATAACTGTGTCTGCAAAAAGCATTTGGTGCATACAAAGTGTAGTTTTACCCTTTGTGGCTATTGAGGAATATACTGTATCTAAATGAAAGGGTTTTTTTTGCCCAGTTCAGCTTTAAAGAATATGTAAACCTTCATCTTGTAAAACAACCCATTCAATGTAAAATAGAAATGAAGGCAAACAATTTGTGTGTGTATATATATATATATATATATATATATATATATATATATATATATATAATAAATTATAGATACCTTTCCCCCTATTTTTTACAAGTGATTATATGCCTTCTGCTCATAGCTGCATAAAGAGCTTACTTAGGGGGGAGGAGAAATAGCTGGTACTGATCTTCCCAGTGAATGGTAGTGGGGCATGTGTGTCAGCAGACATCTGAACATTGGAGGGGACCAGGCTGAGTTCTCAGCAAAGCTAGAAAACTGGCCACACTATGCCATGGTGGAAAATGTTGATCAACCAGATCATACCAGGAGAAGGTCGCGTATAGTAAATGAAATTCCCCCGAGATGAGCTGATTCTGTTCAAATAACAAAACAATTATAGAACACAATGTTTACCCTCTTATGTAAAGTACAAACAATCATTCACCTGAGACTGTCAACATTTACACTTTATCATACTCTACAACCTCGGATTTTAAATATAACATATATCGGACTTCTGCACACTTGTAACGTTTTTACAATTGTTTGAGGTCAACAAAAAGACTGTAAAAAAATTGTAGTCATATGTATTTCAAATGTTTATTCAACTTTTTAACAAGAGATTCTCTTTAACAAGGTACTATAGCACTCTGACAGGGGCATGTTCTTATCAGTATTGCAGTAAAAATGTCACTGCTTGTAAATGCATGAATTCAACTCTCTCTACTTCTAAATACCTTGTATTTCTCTACTGGTTCCTCTATATTATTTCTTCCTGGAACAAAATGTCTTATGATGACATGTTGTAGCTTATTTTCTAAAAATAAATCATCAGGTCTAGGCATTTTCTTGCAAAAAAAGCACAAAACCCTTGTTGAGTTTCCAGCACTTCTCTTCCTTCCAGTCTTTAACACTTGAAAACAACTCTACTCTTCATCCCTTGCAAGTCTTAGTAGTCCCTCTTCTCAGTGATGGCAAGGTTCTTCTTTCATGGGTTTCCTGCATCTACTGTATGTCATAAGCACCAATGCCAAAACCTCAAAAGAGAAGTAAAAAAAGCTTGATTAAGAGTCCTTTAGCAATTATCAAACAGTGAAAAATTTCCATATGTTTTGCATATCTGTTAAATATGATTGGGATTCTGGACCCTCTACACATAGGTAGAGGTGTGAGCTCTAAGAAGGGCCGAGACACAGAGTCTGAAGAGCTGCCTAGTATTCACCAGTGCACCACACAAAAGATAATGGGGTTCGCTGCAGAATTTTCTTCATGTTGCAACCCTTGGATACATCCATGTAGATTGCAGCTGACCAGGAAAGAACCACAGCAAGGTGCCAAATCTAGAGACAGAGAATCTAGACAGCCTGAAGATGAAAAAGAAACGTGTGATCCCAGAGATATTAGAAGAGGGATCAAGGAATTGGAAGAAAAAAATTACTTAATTATCCAGCTGGCATACAAGGAATGGGGAATTGTGATTCTGAAGAAGGCAGAATTAGACAGACTGATGGGGAAATAAATACGTACACCATTTAAAGGGGAATCCCACACTTACATATAAAAAAAGAACTAGAGAATAAATGGAAGGTACTCAACAAGAAAGAAACCAAATATCTAGTCCTCACACTTTGTCATTTCTGGGTTATTTATTATCTCCCCAAAGTTCATAAAAATCAGGAGAAACCTCCCGGTGAACTTATTGTTAGCATCGCTGAACCCATTAGTGCAAGATTAGGACAATATATTAATGTTTTCATTCAACCATTGGCGCAAAAGGTGGAAACATATTTGCATGACATTAAATGTTTTTACAGACACTGAATTTGGAATATAAGCATGAATGTTTTTTAGAGAAGGCAAATGTAAATGTAAATTCATTGTATACTATAATTATACATTAGGGTGCACATGAAGCATTAGACTGGGCAATGAAGAAGTGCTCAATGCTTCTAAAGAGACATAAGAAGTTATTTTTAAAGGATTGGATTTTGCATTAAAACATAATTATTTCTGGTACGAAAATAAATATTGATTGCAATGGGGGCTAGGTTTGCCCCCAGCATTGCAAATATCTTTATGTCCAAATGGGGAAAACAGAGTATATTGAACAAAAAGCCCCTTGAACTTTTGTGCTATAAATGCTTTATACAGTAAATTACATTTTAATCATGTGGGAGGGCTCTACTGCAAGGGTGCTCAACCTTTTGAAGAGCGAGGGCCACTTAAGTGATTTGGTAACCGGTCATGGGCCACAATAAAATAAAATGGTCCAGAATGTTTTATTTTCAATAGCACAATGAACATGTTTCTCCTGCAACCACTGAATGCTGGCGTTTGGGAGAAGAAGAGATGCTGGCTTTTAGCAGTTGCAT